CAGTCGAACCCCGAAAGTTCGACCAAAAAATCCGGTTCGACAAAAGTTCGCGACACCCCTAGTTGCACTATGTCAATGTCGGCAAAAAAAAAAAAAAAAAAAAAAAGATGGCGTTGCATGGGGGTTAGGGTGTCCGCTTTATTTCGCTTAAGTTCGATCCGCGGTGAGCCTACTTTTTTTTTTTTCTTCTTTTTTTCTCGAACATTTTGTTTTGTCGAGGCATTTGGCGATATTTACGACATTTCTTGTTTGCGATGAACATAAAAAGACAACCGAATATTGTCGACGAAACCTCGCAGAACTAAATGGTATGGGACTCCCTTTCCGGAGGTGCGATCGGGGACAGCGGGGCCACCGTTACTAGATCAACTCAGTTATGGAACTTCCCATCTTCCCATAGACGCTGTACATTGGAGGGGGTCCGATACCGTGCCCGATTTTTTTGCACCTATGTGGCGCTGCTGGCGCATTATTCCACGCGTTTTCGTCTGCTACTGCTCCGCGGCTGCTTGCGAGTCCCGACTCCTCTCGAGGTTCAGCATGGTTTTTGGTTAAATTTTGCCCTTTCGCCAGTAAAAATTACAATTTGAGCATGAAAAGCGCTACGACTGTTTTGGAATACGCTTTGCACTATTGTAAAATGCTGCTGCCTTAGCTGTGCTGACAGCGCGACGCGTTTCGAACAACCCAAATTCGTCGGCGCCACAATCCGGTGGCTACAATCAGGGCATCTACTGTAATAGTAGATGTGCCGATGACTACCAACTGCGGCAGAAACAATTTGAAAGTCGTCTGCTACTGTCAGAAAAAGCGCCGCGAACATCCGTAAGCTCAGTAGGCCAGATGGGCCAGATGGAACGGCCATGTACGATCTCACTGCCACAAGCGCGCCGTCAAGGATGATGATACGAGTATTAATGCGGAGCGCGCGCCCTCTAACAGTCGCCACACAAAGGGACTCCCCCCCCCCCCCCGGAGCGAAGTTCAAGAACTGAGTTGGTTCTAATTAGGGGTGTCGCGAACTTTTGTCGAACCGGATTTTTAGGTCGAACTTCCGGGGTTCGACTGGGTCGAACCGGTTCGACGAACCTTCGAACTTTTTACCAGATTCGACCGGTTCGACTTTGTGGACAGTGCGGCCAGACCTTGATACAAGCTTGTCTAGGTTTGGAGAATTTATTTTTATGCAAAGGGTTATTTTATTTTATGAACAGTTGCAATTAAAAGAAATCAATTATATTCACTGAAGAAGTTAATAAATTAATGTTTTTTGTACTGTATTAACTGAAATAACCAATCAGCGGTGCCCTTAATTTAACCCTTAGCCATCGCCATCCAATCCGAAGTCAACTGGCCAGCCTGTCGCGCATGCGCACATGAGTCGAACCTCAATACAAGGTCGTCGAAATTTCCACAAAAAAGTTCGACGACCTTGTATTGAGGTTCGACTCATGTGCGCATGCGCGACAGGCTGGCCAGTTGGCTTTGGATTGGATGGTAATGGCTAAGGGATAAATTAAGGGCAGCGCCGATTGGTTATTTCACTTAATACAGTACAAAAAAATTAAGTTATTAACCTCTTCAGTGATTAGAATTAGTTTCTTTTAATTGCAACTGTTTATAAGATAAAATAACCCTTTTCTTAAAAAAAACATTCTCCAAACCTAGACATGCTTGTATCAAGGTCTGGCCACACTGTACACAAAGTCGAACCGGTCGAATCTGTTGAAAAGTTCGAAGGTTCGTCGAACCGGTTCGACCCAGTCGAACCCCGAAAGTTCGACCTAAAAATCTGGTTCGACAAAAGTTCGCGACACCCCTAGTTCTAATAACGTTGAGCGGTGCTTAGGTTGCCGGCTGGACGCCGCGAAGCGGCGCAGAGCTCTGAAGCGGCGTGTACTGATTAAGTTTTGTAATGGACCTTTTTCCAGTAAGGAGTGCCCCATGACGGTTTCTCCGCCTACTACAAATGGAGGGCAACCGGACTCGCCTTCTCCCATAGGAACAGATCTCCGCGGAGTGCATATAGCCATTTCCGTCCGAAGTACACTCCGGAGTGCGTATAGCTTTTACTCATAAAATAAAAGAAAGGTTCACTTCTGAAGTTCACGGCCCTCAAGAGGTTCCGTAATGCAGCAAAGTCTCTCTCACATCACCAGACGGCGCTCTGTGTCTTCCGTTTCCGCTCTGTGTCTTCCGTATAATAGGTAAGGGCAACAGAAATGCAGCTGTAATGAAAAATAGAGCACTTTGGAATTACAACAGGTATGAGGTGGTGAGAGAGATTTGGAAAGGGGTCATGGTGCCTGGCTTGACTTTTGGAAACGCAGTGCTATGCATGAAATCCGAAGTGCATGCGAAACTAGAAATAAAACAGCGCGGAGTAGGTAGACTGGCTTTGGGGGCACATTGCAAAACGCCAAACCAGGGAGTACAAGGAGACATGGGATGGGCATCATTTGAGAGCAGGGAAGCGGTGAGCAAGGTAGAATTTGAGGATAGGTTGAGGCTAATGGACGGGGAGCAATGGGCACGAAAGGTTTTCAGCTATTTATACATGAGGAGTGTAGACACCAAGTGGAGACAGCGCACTAGGAAATTAAGAGGAAAGTTTTTGGGCTATAGCGAAGATACGGAAGAGCAAGTCTCAGTTAAGAAGAAAGTTAAGGCCACAGAAAGAGATCGGTGGCTAGAGGGAATGCAGACAAAGACGGCTCTGGAAAGCTATAGATTAAACAAAAGAGTTATTGCCAAAGAAAGCATTTATGACAATTCTAGGGGAAGCTCATTGCTGTTTGAGGCAAGAACGGGTGTTCTGCGAACCAGAACATACAGAGTGAAGTACCAGGAAATTGATACAGTGTGCACTGCTTGTGGAGAGGAGGACGAGACGGCTGAGCACTTGATACTCTACTGTAAAGGGCTTCACCCTATGCCTACCGAAGACAACATAGATTTAATAAAGTCATTGGGTTTTAGAGACAGCGAAGGGAGAGTGGATTTCAAGACTGTAGAGATTACCAAGCAAAGATTAAGTGAATGGTGGCAGAAATCGAGAGAAAACTAGGTATTTTCTTATTCACTGATGGCAAGGGGGTTTCATAGCCTCACTTTCTTTGCACTGCGGAGTGAATATAGATTTCACATTTAAATAATCTAAGCTTAAATGGTAAAACAAAATGGCTAGGTGGCGTAAGCTACCGCCCGATCCAAAGGGCTCAGCCGTATTCATCCATCCATCCATCCTTCCTTCCGCGCGCCGTTGTCTGCGTTATCTGCGTCCGTAAAGGCGCATTCACACTGAGCAAAAAACGCGCGTTCTGGTCGACGTCGACGCCGGCGTCGTAAAAGGCGAAGCAGTCACACAGGGCTATGGTGGCTAGACATAGACGGCGGCGTCTTCTCGGGGAACCTCGCGTTTGTCGAGAGAATACGGAACTTTTTTATTCGTCTGCTTCGTACGATTGATGTTGCCTTGCCTTAGCGATATATGCGCTGGGAGACAACCGTCGTTGTCTTCCAGGGCACGCACTCGGACGGGCAGCTTCAGAAGGTGATCTTTTGCCGCGTTTTTGTGCAAACAAAGCACGGTGCTACGCCGGCGCGTCCGTACCTTTAGCACTGCACGCAGCTTGTGCGAGAGTGTTTCCGACGGAGAACTGCTATACGCTCCGGGCGCTGGTGTTTCGAAAAAACCCGTGGCGCCATCTGTCCGACGAAATAAAAACTATTGGTATGTTACCGCCCTCCCCGACTTCCCGGCCTAGCAGCAGCAGTGATGGTGAAGCCGGCCTCACCACAGGATTGCCCAGCTGACTCTTGTAGCCTGAAAGAGTGGCAGTACCAAAATAGATTGTGAAAGCATGATTGCGGTTTGTCAAATATATATATATATATATATGTATTTCTTCCCCGCGTTTGGGGTTGCTGTTAGATTTCTTACGTGGGAAGAGCTCATCAATCCTTTTCTTTTTGTCGAGAACGGGCCGCGAGGACGGCTTCCCCCAGGCACAAGGGCGGTCCGTGCACGCAGTGTGCTTCTCGCTATTCACAAAAGTCGCGAGCGCTGCTCCATGCTTGCACCATTCACGCACGCCAGCCTTGCAGGTGCAGCTCGCGCCCACGATGAGTCTCGGGTGCGCTAAAAGCTGCCGTAAAAAAAAAAAAAAAAAATGTGTGTAATGCACGGTTGAACCGAGAAATCAGAACAACAACAAATGAGGAGCGGAGGGGGGTGTACGCGAAACCGAACCGGGTGGCACGCTCACCTGAAGCCGGACGTTGTAAACAGCAGACTACATCTGCGCGAGGCATTTCCCTACAACTTCGTTGGGAGCTGTGGAATGAAGGACTTCTTTCACGCCAAACACGTGACGGCCCGCATAAAGTTGCTCCCCTAACTTCAGTGACTTTTCTTTGAAATATTCTGCGATCTCGTCAATCCTTCTGAAGCCGCAAAAGAGCACCATCGGATCGCACGTGCGAGCCGCCATTTTCAGATGGGAACATACCAATCGTTTTTAGGTCGACCACGGGCGGCGCTGGGGAGCGCAAGCGACGGTGGCGCCGGAGTGGCCGCCCGGAGGGTATATTCCGTAGTGGTGGGTGCACACAAAGACTACACAACACATTGGGAGTGATCGCTTCCGCACAGTCGGAGGTCGGAACAAACCGCCAACTTCAGTGGCAGCTTTCGTGCGCAAACGATGAAGAGTAGTTTCACGGCGTCTTGCACGCACATACACTGCTCACAGTCAGATGTTCCAGTCGGCTTGCTTTTCTCCACTCTGAATGCTTCCAGCCACGTTTGGCGAGTTCACGAATCCCTCGACCCCTTCGTTTTTCGCATAGAGTTATTACAATATTGTTTTTCGTCTTTTCGTCTTCATTGTGGGTCGAAAATAAAAACGGCGAAAACATATCCTAACCGGAAAAGGGCGCACGTCACGTCCGGACGCTTGCTGATTGGCTCAAGCGCGCGCGTCGAGGGAAAAATTGGATTCCGAGGCGTCGTCTCCCTGCGTCGCCCTCCTCGGCGCGCGACTTTTTTCGATACAAAAATAAGCAAAACCATTGCTTCAAAAAATTCTCCCCACGACGCGCGCAACGCGCGTCTTTCCGCTGTGTGAATGAACCTTGAGTCCCAGGGGTCCCAGGGCACGTTCCAAGCCGCAGCTTGGAGATTTTTTCGTGGTGTGCTCGAGACGTTTGCATCGACTGACGATGTGCTCGATTGTCTCTTCTTCTCTGCAAAGTCGACAGATTGGGTCATCCCCGTACAGCTCACACCTTCGCCTTTGGGTCAGGAGGCAGTAACACCAGCTAGAGGGCGCAGGCTACCGACCAATGAATCAAACCGCCGAGATCGAGGACGTCGAGAAATGTAAGGGAGAGCGAAACTGTGGAGGGAACGGTTTTTGAGGAAGGGCGGAAGGACATTACCATTTTGGCAGATCACGAATGTTAGGCCTAACGCGAACTGCGACAAAGCTGTTTGCGACGAGAGGAACGCTGCAAGTAAAAATAGACCAAACATATCCGCACATCTTTCCCGCCTCCCCCGTGCTTCGTAGAGCCCTTGCCAAACCTAACCTGCCGCGCCAAGTGAGCGAGCGAGCGAGTGATTGTGTGAAATAGTTTAGGTGAGCCATCCGCGCGCCATTATTCGTCCGGCCGTTGACGTCTCCGACCAGTGGCACAGTGGCGCTGCTGCTACCGCCGTGCCCGCCGTGCTGCGTAGTCAGCTTGCCGGGGTCGAAACCCGTCGAAAGTGACGTAAAAGCCCCCCGGTGGTCCGAGTCTTCCCAACTGCCGTCCAGCCTAACGCCGTGGGAAGATGCCCGCTGGAGACCCGCAAGGTTGACCTGGGACACCAGAGACGGGTCGGTCACCGGACAATCGGCTGTTCCTGCGGATCGAGGCAAGCGTGTCGCCTCTTCCTTTCTCAGCGTCGCCTATGATTGAAGGTGCTCAGGGTTTCGCTCCTTTGAATCGGGAGACGTTTCCTGTGCAACGCCCTGATACGGGAGCATGTTCCGAGTGCTCGAGGGTCCAGACGGCGTCACTCGAATCTACAGGGCTTCTACCAACGAGCTTGTGTGCTGTGTGAAGGAAAACGCGAACGGTGGTCGTGCAGTGCTCGCGCCAAAGAGTCACAATGTCTCGCCGTCGAACCCACAACACAGACGTCGCGCCGGCAGCGTGGGCTCGCCGTGCAGTCGAGGGACACCGACCAAACCCCATGTTGGGCGCCCCGACACCTGCTGCCCCGTGCCCCGAACTAAGGCCTCCTTTCTGCGTCAGCTAGAACTAGAGCCCGTGTTGCCCGCTCCCCGGGCCGTGCTTGAGCGACTCCCCGCCACCTGCGACAAGGGCGCCTGGGAGGGTGCCCAGGCGTCCGTCGAGCGCTACAGCAAGTACTGCGCCACCCGTGGCCGTCTCGCGGGCCCAATGCCCGGTCCGTTTCCCGTCATACACCGCTACCAGAGGCACCAGAAGAACCTGAGCCATGTGTACACCTTTAGCCGTGCACAACGGTTGGCCCGGGGACGTTCTCTGGCCACCGGCCTGAGTGTGAGGACGCTGGCACTGCTGGACCGCTGCAAGAGGGCCACGGTGGACGTGCCCCGGCTCACCCCGGCCGAGGTGGCCCTGTGGACTAAGGGTCGGCTACGGCTGAACCGGACTCCGCTGCGTGAGCTGCCCGGGTTCATGCGGCCGCTGACCTGCCTGCTTTTGAACCTGGGACCAAACAATGGTGCACGGAAGCTGCCGTGCAGGCTCAAGTACGACACCCCTGACCGGAAGGGCCCTGTGTTGCGTTCGCCCGCAAAGCTGTCCCTTTACTGACAACTAGTGCCCTATTAACGTGTCACACAGCTTTCTTTTATGACAAATGAATCACCTTGTTGGTGCCCCAGAGATTGGGGCTGCTTTTAATGAAGGTTCTGTGTGCTGTGTTGTTGATGTCACGTGGAGCCTGAGCCCTCGTGCGGCAGCCAGGTCGCGCAGGTCGCTTGGTACGGGGTTGACCCTGGGCCCGTGCCAGCGGTGCACGGAAGCCCCATGCACGAGCACCAGGGTCCCGGGCGCCGCCATGAGGCGGATGTGTTGGAGCGCACAGAGGTGTGCCTCGGGAGAGTCGCAGCTGAGAACGCGGAGGCGGCTCAGGCTTTCGCCGAGGCCCGGCTCGCCGATGCGCTCAGCAAGTGCCAGGATGTCCAGCTGGCGACTCAGGTCGACGAGGAATACGTTGCGCTCATGGCCGCCTCTGGAAGCCGGCTTCAGGTACTCGGCGGCCAGGTCGAGCCACGGTCCCTGGACAAGATCCCTGTCGGGGAGTCCGCTTGGTCCACATGGCACAATGCTATCCTGCAGTGGCAGAAGTATAAAAAGTTGTACAAAATGCTGGGCAAGTTGGTTAGACATATTGACTTAAACAGCGCAAATACGGTAAGGAAGGAAGAGACAGCACTCTTTCCTTCCTGTTGTCTCTTCCTTACCTTATTTGCACTGTTTAATCAAGATGTAAAATTTGTTAGAAGAAAGTAACAAGGTTACAGTTAGCCAAGCTCAGCCGTAATTAAGTACGAATACGGTTTCATTCTTAAAAGTAGCACCACAGGAAACGGCCAAGTTTTGCATATGGTTCATTCATTGCACAAAGTACTGGGTTTGATTGTGAAAGTGAAACTGGGTTTTTCAAAACTACCAATTGTAGAAAGCTGAAGCCCTATCGAATACAATGCTAGCAGCAGGGATGGTATGTGCAAGTTTGAGAACATGGCGTTACCTGGATCGAAAGAAAAAGATGAAATTTTTCTACGAGTCAACGTCTGGCGAAGCCTAATATTCATCAAATCAAACAACAACATTGTGGGTGCCAGTGACATTTTATATAACGAAACAAACTTGTCAGCAAGAAGGAAAACAATGTTTTTCTTGCTACAACTTTGTTTTACTGAAATGAGTACCACAGCTGCCCAGAATATTGTTTTTTAAAGAAGAATAGGCATGGTGGATGTATCAAAGAAATGTTATCTTTTTCTTTTATTTTTTTTTTTTACTTATGTAACATCATACTCCCAAGCTTTTGAGTCCTGTCCCAAGTGCTAGAGTTGTATTCTGTTGGAGTTTCAGCTTTCTGCAATGCATAATTTATTTATACGGGTCAAAAAACGGCTTCTTTTCTTTGGCCCAATCCGGTAGTTTTCATGAGATTTGGTTGTCGGAGAAGAAAAACGAGGCACGTTCATTTGACCAAACGCGATGAAGTGCGGTAGCTTTACAGAACGTTGGGGAAAACAACTGGGAAAGAGAGTGGTACGTTGATGAAATGGTTGTAATATGCCATGCACACATCGAAGACTACGTTGAAGAAGACCTCTATACTTCATCTCATCCTGCGATGGACTAAAGGCCGAAGCCACGGGCCGCCCAGGTCCAATCACGTTCCACGCTCAACTATGACACGCATAGCATTGGCTAGCTTTGGACGAATAATGCTCCGTATTCAAAATCGCTGCGTCATTTTTATAGCCTCGACAATGCAGAGAGCCGGTACGTCGTGGCTTTCTTTGCAATGTAAAATCTTTGAGTAACTCATTGCTCGATCCGAACCACTGTCCGCCCGTTCCCATCAGTGATCCGAGACGCGGGCAGCAATGCGTGCATCGAAGCGAAATACCACGCAATGTCCAAGTGGCTCGTGATTGGATCTGGCGGTTCGTAGCTTCTGCCTTTAGTCCATCGTAGGGTGAGACGAAGTATAGGACGATCCCAAGAAAGACGACTAGGACTACTTCAAGGATGACCCTTAGGACAACCTCAAAAACGCCGCGTAAGACGACGTCAAGGACAGGTTGTTTTTTGTCGTCAAAAAACAACCTTTAGAACCTCTAGGACCACGTCAGCCTCGGCTACCGATGCTTACGAGAACAAAGCTTATGTGACCATAAGCTTCAGTTACGGAAATTACAACCATTATAGGACATAACCTTGAGTGTGGTTAAGCCTATGTTTTCTGACCATGTCAAAAAACAACCTTCATGACGACGTCGGGTCACGTCAGCCTCGGCTATCGACGCTTGTGAGAAAGCTTATGTGACCTTCAGCTTCAGCCACGGGGTTTAGAACCATTATGAGACATGACCTTGAGCGTGGTTGGGCTTATGAAGCTACTACTTTAAAAGAAGCCTTTTGCATTTGGTGTGTCTATTTTGTCAAGATAGGTAACTAATCTTAAATGCACATACAAGTGTCACAATTTGATACATAAAGGTGGAAGTTTCTCCAAAAGTAACGAAATTACTATTACATATACTTCAGAAGTAGGTTGTTTACACTTACTGAAGTTTCACTGTGGCATCGCAAGCGTTTGCAGCTACTAAAATGTCATTGTAGCTTGGGAAGTATAGAGTGTTTGAAATGCCGAGGCTTGATCTAAAATGGGCCGTAAGAATCGGCGCCTGCACATAGCGATCTAACCCTTTTGTCAAAGGTGTATTTTACAGGTGGGTTTTACCTTGTAAAATTACAAGGCATAGCTTATTTTCGGTAAAACAATAGGGCCGAAAGACTTGTCAGGGTTAAAAGCGGACGGCGACGCAGACGATTGAGTCAAGTGGCAGGGCGCGTTCGGCTTTTGTATTGATAGATCGCACTAACCCGCTTGTTCCGGTATGCTTTAAAAGGTATTGAGTCTGCCCGTGACAATTGTGGTCTATTAAAATTAGTGATGGACCAAATCTGCCGAACTTGAGATTCGACAAAGTTGGGCACATGCCAAACTTTTGAAGGAAATTTTGGCAAAAATTTGGCAAACGTATGCGCATGCGCAAGAACGCGATGGGGCCATAGGAATTGCAAATGAACACCGTGCGGTCGTGTGGTTACCATCAAAGTGTAGTGCTACCAGCAGTTACGGCGAGATACGGAGTAAGCGACATGGTAAATGTGTGTTTGTCAGCCTTTGTGAGTGTGGTTCTCTTCAATACTTTCTGCCTCAAGAAGAGAAGATCGACCAGAAATGGATGCAAAAATGATGCGGTCCACAGCGCAAGTGACAAATGATGCGGTACATTCAGGTAACATGATTTTCATTTGATTTTTTCAGTGAAGCAACGTGGTAATTGCAACATTGACGGACAAGTACTTTAAAGCACTCCTCGCCACTATAGGAAGTATTCACTGGACGCCATATTTGTGGGTGCTGTTTAGAGCGCATGCTCAGAACGAGCTCACATCAATAGGCTGCTAAGACCGGCGCTCTCGATGGTGCGGAATGCACATTGCAAAAGAACTGTGGAAGCTCGCCATCAGCACGCGCTCAGAATTTGCGCACACAGATATGGCCGAAAACTCCCTATAGCGATCCTGTTTTCGGCTCACAAGTAGTTTGTGCCAAAACAAAGTAATACTGCTTTTCAATCGGCGTTATTTCGCGGTTTTCATCTGTCCGCATAAAACTAAACACAAAACTATCCTTCTCGACGTTGCACATCCAACATTCCTAACTCTTCCAATCTTCCTAAACGTCCAGTGTGTATTAACATCAGAAACCGTCATTTTAAAAGTTCAAAACGAGATGTTGCGAATATGGGACACACTTCTATGCAATGCTGAAGTGACTCAAATCGCAAAATATGCATATTTACAATAATATTGTCCTCTCTTCTGGTGAAAGCTCAACAGCCATTGCATTAATTTGCGCGCACGAAACGGTGACACGTGGAGGAAGTAAAGAACACAGTGTTTCCGCCTTTTTAACAATACAGAATTGCAGGCTTGCACTGATAAGGCCTCAAAACCAAAACTCGCATATCGTGACTGCGCTCGCTACTACCCAACCCCGTTGTCGCACCACTTCTGCAAAAAGTAGCTTTAAAATTGCCAGTAAACACACAAAAATGACACCGATACAATTATCTTTTCAAATATCACCTTGGTAGTAATCACTGTCAATACCCAATAAAAAAAAGTTTTTTTTGCACGGAAAACAATATATTTTTTAGGTATGGCAACAAGGCATTTTTGCCGAATCCCTGGCGAACCTTCGGCAAAAATTCGGCTTTGCTGAATCCAAAGATTCGGCACCGAATTTTCGATTCAACAAACGTTTGGCCCATTAATTAAAATGAACATAATCATTTTGTAATCTGCCAGGCTTTGTCAGTATAGAGGAGGCTATGGTATGTCTTCCTTTCGCCGGTCAGTTACACCTTCCGACGCTGCTCCCGAGACTTTTACTTTTGTTACTTCAAGGTTTTGCTACCATTGTCTGCATTTATTTTTAAACCAAAGGTCCATTACAAAAAGATTCCTTTTAATAAATCACAGTCGTCGCAGGCGGTCTCCATATTTTTTTAAGAGCTAGCCGGAACTACTGGTAGCGCCATCTAGCAATATCTGTGCCAAACACGCCCCGCCTTTAGGCTCGGTCTGCGTCGCCGTCCGCTGCTGCCCCTGGCAAGTTTTTTGGCCTTATATTATACAGAAAGGGAGCTACGCCTTGTAATTTTCCAAGGTGAAACTCACCTGTGAAATAGCTTTGACGAAAGATTTAGATTGCTACGTGCAGGCGCCAATTTTTATGGTCCATTTTAGATCGATCCCTGGCATTTCAGACGCCCCATACTGTTTTCTGCAATTTTAACTATGAGGAGTGTACCATATTGATTTGCAAAATATTTTTCTGCTGCGAATACCGGCACCTTGCAGGTCAGTAGGTATCTCTGCCTTGTTACATTCCCCAGATAGTCGAATACTCTTGCACCACCGGTGTGGTAGCCTCTTCATGCCGTACCAGAACTACTTTTTTCGAAGTGCATTACACCCATCCCCAAACAGCTGCTTCCAGCTCATCAGCGACCATGAAATAGTGTTCTTCACGGAGTCTTTTCATAGCCTCAAACAGGTGATAATCGCTGGGGACCTGATCACGCTGTCCGCAACTAAATGTCCGATAGGTTGTATTTCTAGTCGTGCCAGAAAGGTGGCCAAACCCAAACGGGTATCGTCCAGTCACAACCTAACATGAATGCACATGACGCCATGATCGACCAGCACCTAATTGGGTTTGGTCATCTTTCTGATGAGTCGCACAATTTGCCGCGTGCTTAGCAT